TTAACCCCTTCCTAAATTAAAATAACTACAGTAGGCAACCTGCCTACAAGCCAAGATTCAAACCATCTATGGGCAGGCTGATTGTACCCCATTTGATTGTTGTACGACTTGGGTACAACCAGCATGTCAGATTGTTACATGCAATTATTGCCCATGGCTGCTAGCAATAATCACTGTGTTCTCCTGGAAGGGATGGCTCCCTGCACCCCCCCCCCCCCCCCCTCTCCCGAGCCAGAACACAATAGCTCCCCAGGAAGGATTCCCTCCGTCAACACGTTATTCTATCCTACAACCTGTAGTTACAGGAATGAAGATCGCATCATCTATGTCCTGTCTTAGTCTTGTACTCCCTGCTGATTAAAGTTATGTCTTCTCCAGACCCCTATTGTGAGAACAGGTATTTGTTGGTCAGTCATGTAGATCATCTGACTCATTTACACAGTTTTTATTGATTAGTTATACATATAAAATATGTGCTATAGAGGTTGTTGATTACATTTTAAAAGTAAAATGATCTTTTAAAGGGTGAGTGTATTTTGAAAAGAAAACCTAGTGTTGAAATCCTGCCCTGTCCACCCTGCTCTGTCCACTGTACTTACACCCTGCTGGCCTATGACATAGTGTGCAGGTATCATCACTAGCCTAAAAAAATAATGACTGTGTCCATTTAAAGCATGATGCATGTGTCTGGGTCTGCCATTATTTTCAATCGCTGGTGCATGCCTACTATTTCAGGGGTTTCTTATATAGAATATGCTGGTTCTTGTTGGTGAAGTTCACCGCTAATAGGTCTGGGCATGGGGCACCAGTAGCTGAGAACAAATGAACATTGTAGCTTCTTCCAGTTTTCCTAAAATAAAAAGTTTATCTTAAACCCATAACACATTGGGGTTGATTTACTAAAGGCAAATAGACTGTGCACTTTGCAAAGTGCAGTAGCACTCTGCAAGTGTAGTTGCTCCAGAGCTTAGTAAATGAGAAGCTCAGCTGACTTCCATCAACCAATCGTGCAAGCAAAAATGCTGTTTTTTTATTTTCCTTGCATGTGATTGGGTATTCTTGGCAAAGGGAAGCTTCAACTCATTTACTAAGCTCTGGAGCAACCGCTCTTACAGAGTGCTATTGCACTTTGCAAAGTGCACAGTCTATTTGCCTTTAGTAAATCAACCCCATTACCTTTAACATTCTCCTAAAATGAGCCTTTAACCTGTTCCAAAAAACAACCCACCTCAACTCTTACACTTAGGGGTCTATTTATACAAAAAAGTTGTTGCATGAATGTCATAGCATATGACAGTAATATCCTTGCGTATGTTTTAATAGCTTGACATTTTTCACATACATGTTAAAATCAGCATTTTTTAGCGAGAAAATTACTTAGAACCCCCACACATTAAATATTTTCTGAAAGTAGAGGGCTTGAAGAATAAAATGGTAGTTTTTAAAATTTTTATGTTGCATGATAATTTGCACATTTTCAGGAAAAAATGCATTTAAATGAATTTCAGTGCACACAATATAATACTTACATTTTTGTAAGATATAAAAGATGATGTTGCATCAAGTAAATATATACAAAACATATCAAGATTTAAAGTTCTGCACTCCTGTGATGTGGCAACAAACTACGGTACCTAAAACTGACCATAGGCGACAGTTTAAAGCCTTTACAGGTTATCAGTTAGAGTTAAACATAAGCTATGGCACTTGAATTATTGTTCTCACTCCAAAGTTTTTGGTGATACTATACATGTGTGGTGCAATCACCATTTACATATGTGTGCCGGACCTATGTGAGCGTTTTCATTTTCACATTTTAAATGTATTTATTTTACACTTTAAAACATTTATTTCCTTTAACTTTATTGCTGTCACAAGGCACAAGATACCTTGTGATAGCTTTGGATAGTTCCACTCGACCTATTAAAAAAAAAAAGTCATTAGCTCCAAAAACTGTAGCTGCTGACTTTTAAAAATCAGCCACTTACCTGTCCCTCAGTCCCGCGGTGTGTCCCCTGCAGCTCATTTCACCAGCCGTCCTGGATTCCAGGAGGCCGGCATCTTCAGTGTGGGCACCCGGCTGTGATAGCTTGCGGCTACACAGCCCGGGTACCCACTGCGCATGCGTGAGTAGCACTGCGCTTCGTGAATGGTCCTGTAGTCTTCTGGGACCTGTCATGTGTCCCAAAAGACTACAGGGAGGGAGGGAGGACACCTTCCATTTCCGATCGCCTAGTCGATCGGACCGGAAGTGGGATTGGGTACCTGTCACATTCGGGTACCCTCTACCCCCCCCCCCCCCCCCCCCCCCGCTCCCCAAAGGTGCCAATCCTTAATGGGGAGCAGTCCTTAAAGCAGAACTTCCCCTTTTGGGTGGAGCTCCACTTTAAGTCTGTATGAAGACATCAGGGACCTATTAGACCCCTGATATTTCCCTTACCCTTCAAAGCATCTAATCAAACAGAGACCATGTTTTTCAAAAGCTTCCAAGGCTCTAATAGCCAGAAAAAGGCAGCACTGAAACCGGATGTGACTAAATCCTCATCATTTCTGACTTCATCACAGAGAAGATCAGGGAACAGATGTTCCTTCATCTTGTCTGTGGGCATCCAACCCAACTGTTTACAACAGTCCCAGGCACCCTGGTGAAATGGGAAAGCCAGAGAATGGTGATGGGCAACTTCGGGGTAGTGGGGGCCTTCCAAGCACTGTAAAAGAGAGCAGGCGGGTGTAAAGCCACTCGCATCAATTTTACTGGGAAGCTGATCGCTGGCTGTAAAAAATGATACCAGGATCATGGTTGCAGCTGTAGTTATGATCCTGGTATAACCACTTGAGGTCCAGGCCATTTATATATACACATTGGACAACAAGTGTTTTAAATATGTGCAAAATGGTGTTTTCCTGGCTGTTATGATTATGCTTTAGCTTCAATGTTGTTTGAATAGCTAACCTGGTAAAAGTATAGAAATAAGGGGTCTACTCTGTTGTGGCACGTATATAGAGCTTGGTTGTTCTGGGTCAGTGATTTAAAAATACATAAGTCACACAGAGCCAGGCAACTAGCATTTTTAGAAGAAGACCAGATATGACAGGCCCTATACTTGCCCCATGACAGAACAGAGTCTCTTTGAGAGACCTGTGCTAGAAAGGTTTCAGAATACCCAGGTGTTACTTCAGTGATAAACTCATGACTTCTCTAATGTATGAATGGGATTTATGGCACCATATCCATGTCTACTGCTATTGTAATACTGGGATGTGTAGCTCTGCATTCACTGTGTGCTGCTATTGGAACACTGTGTGGGGGGGCATTCAATTATATATCCAAAGGGATGTTGGGGCTAAAAAGTAGTTCTATATCCACTACTATTGGAACACTGGAACTTCTAGTTTCTTATCTGCTGGGTTCTGCTATTAGAACACTGGGACTTGTAGTGCTTTATCACTACTACAGTATATTTAGTGTGTGCTATATGAAAAATATTATTAAAAATATATATTTTTTAAATATATTCTTCAGATTTTTTTTTTACATATAAAAAAGTAATTTTAACATATATTTTACATATATTTGTAAATGCATTCCAAAAATGTAGATTTGTATTTTTAAAGACATACAGTATATTTGAAATGTATTTTTAAAAATATTTTTCATATATTATGTAATAAAAACACATTGCAACACGCAGTGTATGTTTGTTTTATATATATATATATATATATATATATATATATATATATGTTTTTTTTTTTTATTGACATATATTTTGAAATATATTGAACATGGCCAAAATTTCAGCATTTCAAATATATGTAAATATATTTGGGAAGAATATTTTTAAAATATATTTTTCTTCCATATGAGATATTAGCTGGAGTTTGACTTCAGTAAATGTATCTAAATCTGCAAGTGCATCTAACACTACTTTCCCCCCCAGACTAACAATGCTGCTGTCCAATTGTGCCACCTGTGCTCCTTCATCCAGAGCGGGAGCACCCTAAAACAGGTGTATTACTCGGCAGATCACTAGGTGAAAACAGGGGAAAAGGAAAACAAAGGCAGCCACCTGATCTAATGATTGGTTAATAGTAATACATTACATTTTTGGTTTGGGGTTTAATAGAGCTTTAAGCCTTCTATGACAGGGACTTGTGTTTCCAACACCTTCCAACAACCACAATCTTCCATCAGATAGAGCTGAGAAGTAGAAGGATTACAGACAAATGTCAACTTTTAAAAGTGATCCTTCAGGTGTGATTTTGAGCCAAGGAGCTCAGTTAACCACTTCATACCTTGGGTGGCCCCAGCAAAGCTCTCTGTACCATTTAATGGGTCCCCTCCGGCGAGGAAGATCATAATTAAAACAGACAATCCAAGTCCTGCCTGCAGCTGGCAGCGAACTCTCAATGCTTGCAGCCACTTTGCTGGGCTTTCTTTTGGACAGCTGCGCCCTCTAGTGTCTATTCCTATCCCTGCTCAGTCCTCGTGATGTCGCTGGTAAGAAAAGCAGCTGCTGAAAGAGATTTCCCCCGGAGATGGTTAGTGCAAGCAGCATGCCATGCCACTTACAGAGCAGAGGTCCCGATCTCCTGAGATCAAGCTTTCACTCTTTGGTCTCAGCATCTTCACGTGATCCAGAGGAGGACATCAACATCATCATCATCAGGACGCCTAGGGATTGAAGCAACTCTGCAAAAGTTGGGTATGAGAGTTTCCCTGGACTAAATGATGCTCTAGCTGCTGGTGGATTACTTGCTTGGTGATCTCCTGCTCCAGCATCCACATTGTAGTGCCTATGGATGACCTTTTAAACACAACTGTGGGTGAGAACTTTTCAGTTCTTCCCTTTTCTCCAAACTTCTGGGACAATGGAAGTTCCATAGTCCACAACCAAACCGATGCTAATAGGACTCACCTGCAAGTAGACTTTACAAGGGCTATGGTCCTTGGATTCACCTTGGGAGCCTTTATATCTGTGGCCATTGTGGGCAACATCATGGTTATTATCTCAGTGGTGGCCAACAGGCAGTTGAGGATCCCAACCAACTATCTGATAGTCAACTTGGCCATTGCTGACCTTCTCCTCAGCACCACCGTTTTACCTTTCTCTTCAGCCCTTGAGATTGTCGACGCTTGGGTATTTGGGAAGATATTCTGTGACATTTGGGCTGCCATGGACGTTCTGTGTTGTACAGCTTCAATTTTTTCAGCCTCTGCGCCATTTCCATCGACAGGTATATAGGAGTTCGCTACTCTCTTCGGTACCCTACTATAGTGACCAGGAAAAGAGTCTTGCTGGCTTTACTCTGTGTCTGGATATTGTCTATAGTGATCTCCATAGGACCCTTACTAGGATGGAAGCAGCAGACAGCTACTGATGAGTATGTGTGTGATATTACAACAGAGCCTTTCTATGCCATCTTCTCCTCCCTGAGCTCCTTCTTCATCCCACTTGTTGTCATTCTGGTGATGTACTGTCGAGTCTATGTGGTAGCCAAGAGGATCACCAAGAACTTAGAGGCTGGGGTGATGAAAGAAAGGATGGACTCCAAGGAGCTAACACTCAGGATCCACTGCAAGAATATGAATGATGGCATGTCTAACAATAAAAACAAAAACCAGCAGACTCGCAGCTCCTTGTCTGTGAAACTCCTTAAATTCTCCAGGGAGAAGAAAGCTGCCAAGACATTAGGGATTGTGGTGGGCTTGTTCATCCTGTGCTGGCTTCCATTCTTCACGTCTCTACCTTTAGGTAAGCATCAAATATAAAAGAAGTGTGCTCAGTCAACACTTACTCCAAAAAATACTGTGTATTTTTGTTTGATGCTAATGCATTAAAGTGGAGCTCTATATAAAACTTTTTTTTTTAGTTTTGGATACAATGAGGAAGGTTTAGATACTCTGTCAGGACTCGGTGACTGGTGGAAATTTCCCCAAAACCACATAGCTTGCTGTGATGGCAAGAGATTAGCACCTAGTTTTTATAGTTCCCCTCCCTGAAATCTGTATATTACTATGGACAATCAGCTAGAAGTCATCAATCAGGGTTTTATGTGCCTCCTAATAGACTGTTCATAGGAATATATGGAGGGCACTTAAAGCAGACCATCACCCCCTTCAATAATTTAACATAACCCCCCCCCCCCAAATCCTGTTACACAATTGGAATTTTGTGCCTCCTGGGATTCCATGTCTCGAATGCCAGGAAGATTTGGGGCAATTTCCACCACACTGCGCAATATGCCCCGCGCTGTGCATGCGCTGAGGCCATCAACATGGGGTGAGCTGCAAGAACCAGTAAGAGAAAGCCAGCCCCCTGATGGCGGTGCAGGGCACAGCATGCAGAAGTAGCTCAGTGGGTTACACCAGACAATGCTGGATTCATTGGGCATGTATGTGTTGTGGGGACAACCCAGCAGATAAGATTAAAAGGGAAATAAATAAAAACGTATGGAGGAGGGTAGAGTGAAGTTTCTTCTCAAGTGTCTTGACTCTGTGCTGTAGTTATGTGTAACAATAAAAACTTGGTTAGGGGTCAAACCGTTTTCACTTCAAAAGAAAAAGAAAAAAAAAAAGAGGTAGAGTTTCGCTGTACTTATGACTGAGGTGAGAGATGAGCCAATTATATGGTGTCACGAGTCTGCATGTATCATCAGCTGTTTATTTAAATAGTATCTAAAGCCAAAACTTTATTTTACATTTTTAGTAGGGAAAGTTAAAGTGTTTTTTTTTTTTTTTTTCGCTATCTTGGTCTCATTGTGGAGATTTTTTTTCAGAGACACAGCAGGAAAGTGAGAGGAAATCTCCTCAAAGTAAGAGACAGTTGTTACCTGAACAGTAGTCCCTACTGAAAGATCTTCTGTTACCTCCCGTTCCTGTGACAGTCAAAAAATGTTCCATTGCCCATCAATGTCTGCTATTTTGCATCAGCACTTTTATTCCTTCTTTTTTTTTTTTTGTCACTTGCACTCGCATGACAAGTCGTACCAGTATGACCAGGGTCTCAATGATTTTTTTAGGTGCCTAAGACCCCGGTCATACAGGTGCGACTTGTCATGCAATTTGATCGTTTCAATTCGCACGAGAAGTCGCACCCTATTGTCTTCAATTGAAGCGGTCATATCGGTGCAATTTTGGCTTCTTCTGAGTCGCACTGATTTTGAAACTAGCATGCACTACTTTTTGCAAGTTCAGGTGCGACTTACAAAGACATCTGTGCATGAAGTCGCACAGCTGTCTTGCAAGTCACACCTGAAGTCGCACTGACATCCAACTTTGAAATCGTGCGACTTCAAGTAAAGTTGCACGATTTCAAAGTCGGATTCAGTATGACCGAGCACTTAATCACAGATAAGAATTGAATCTAGGATTCAAAGGGATTTGATTGTACAGGTAAAAAGTATTAAAGACCAGGGATATTTACAGGAACAAAACTGCACAAGAAAAAAAAGCTTAAGGCTGGCCATACACTATACAATTTTCTGCCATTAGATTTACCTTCAACTATGTAGTGCAAGGGTCTGCCTAACTGGATACAATTGAAAGTGTTGTTTATGGTTTGACCTCATATTATATGGTTTTTGGTAAATTTAAAGTTAAATTCTCAAGAAAATTGTATAATGTATGGCCAGCCTTAGACTGGCCTTGTCTGATTTCCTGGGCCAAGGGGAGAACAAATGTTTCTCAAATTTTAAATGCAAAGTTTTTACAAAATAAAGTGTCTAGAACTAAGTGGTCGTTTTTTTTTTTTGACCAATACATCAACCATTTGGATAGATAGATAGATAGATAGATAGATAGATAGATAGATAGATAGATAGATAGATAGATAGATAGATAGATAGATAGATAGATAGATAGATAGATAGATAGATAGATAGATAGATAGATAGATAGCTATTTTTATAGAATATATATATATAATCTTTATTTTTTAAATATTTATTTAGCATGTAGATGTTTCCAAAAATTATTGGCTAAAAATCGATGATGCCTTTAGCATCCAATCCAAGCTCTCCTTTGTATCTTGTTATGGAGGAATAACATCTGGAGTTTGTTTGGTATGGGTAGCAAACACCTTGTTTTTTTTTTACAATCCTTTTTACAATCCTTGTGGTTTACGTTCATTTAGAATATCGATACATTTAGCATAGCTACAGGAAAGACAACCTCTGAGTTATGTAACAGGCGTAGTGCATGGAACAAGGATGTGCGATAATTCGTAGCAAAAGGAATTGAACTTTTATTTCGAAAAATGAAAGCAATGAAATTGCATGATAGACTGGCTACTGTAAGTTATTCTACTAAAATACACTTCACTGTTGGGAAAAGGAGAAATTTCACTGAAAAATATTGTTACATGGCATATATAAATATTGGTGTGGCAAAAGGCAGCTTTTTTTAATAAAATCATTTTTTCTGTTTATTTAAAAAAAAAAAAGTTTTCTCCTTTTAACCTCTTGCTGTCTGCCGAACATACAAAACCATCCTGGATGCAAGTGGTTATACCATAACTTATGGCTGCAGCTGCACCCATGAGCATGGTATATTTTTTATTTTTACAGCCAGCAATTTACTGTTCAATAAAAGTGATCTGGGCTGCTCAACAGCCACCAAATCACTTTTACTGTAGGGTGAAGGTCTGCATCTGCAGTCTCTGCTTGATTAGCTGCACTGGAGGGCAGGGAAAACATTGAGGGGTTAATAGATCCCTGATGTCTCCAGAAAGAGTACCTGTTACCTTCCCAAAACTATCACATAGGGAACTTGTTAGCCTCTTGTGATAGCAATAAAGATAAATGAAATAAATAAGCAATACGAAGTGTAAAAGAAAGACATTTTAATAAAATAAATAAAAATAGATGTCACTCTACTACACTGTGTTCACTGAGGTGGGATAATCTTTAGCTGTCCCATTTATAATTGAAGCTTACTGCACAGGAACACGCCTGGGATGCAAGTGGTCTTTCTCCTCATTGCTGAGTTATGTAATACATGTTTCCTCACACTGTATTCTGTTGTAGCTGTGACATAGTACAATGACTGGAATGCTTGATGTTATTCCTGTTATTCCTCTTTTTTTCTATGTAACTTTATATTTTTGTATTTGAAAAGGTTTTTGCAATAAAAAAAGAGATTATCCAAAAATGAAATAAATAAAATAAAATACATAAAAAAGTAATAACAAGCAAATCTAAAAGCACCAACTTCTTTGACTTGTTGGATATGTATTAACTTGATGCAACATCATCTTAGTTTACCAAAAAAATTGTGTTTTTTTTGTGTTTCTGTGCAGTAAAATTCATTTTAGTGTATTTTTCCGGAAAATCTGCATTTGATAGATGGCTGCACAAATATTGTGCGACAAATAACTCCAACAGTCTTCATTTCATACTTCAGAGCCTCTGCTTACAGAAAATATATATAACATTTGGAGGTTCTAAGTAGTTTTCTAGCATAAAATGCTGATTTTCCCATGTGTGTAAAATTTTAACGAATGCCCTGGAGTTTAATCAGCAAGTGGTTCAAGCAGATTCCCCTCCCCCTCTTCAAGCCACATTCCTGGTGCATGTGTTCTTCCTGTACCCCAGTTCCTATACCGCCATTTTTAGAATTAATGTCATCGGTGGCTGGTTTCTTCTGCATTTATGCTGCCACCAATGACGTTAGAGCCAGAACTATGAGAAAAGTAAGAGTGGTTTTTTTCCCAAGCCCCCGAAAAAAAGCCCATTCATTTTTTTTCTACCTAGGAGAAATGTTTTACCTAGGAGAGTTTCCTGGAAGGCACAGGTGACTACCAATACAGACCTCACTGGTGGACTTCTTCCAAGTAATTTGGACTATGCTTTCTTTCATAAGCATGAATCTAACAACTACCTCACTGGCTCAGTGGAGAGTGAAAGCACTCTCCCAGCCTTTGCATCTAGTTCAGGGTTTCTCAACCAGGGTTCCATGGAACTTTATGGTTCCCCCAGAAGTTGTTAGGGATTCCTTGAGCAATGAGCAATTTCACCCTCTTAGATAAGTTCCCACTGACACCATTGATCTTTTTAGCTATCTGTAAGTGGGGAATTCTTCCCAATGACCACAAGTGTAAGGATCATTCTTCCCAATGACCATCACACTAGTGTCTCATGAGTTGTAGATATAGTCATTTTTAGCAGGGGTTCCCTGAGAGCGGAGAGTTATTTAAAAGGTTCCTCTGTGTTGAATAGGTCGAGAAAAGCTGGTCTAGAAGATGAGGAGAGCCATGAGCCCCTCATGTTGAATAAGTATATCTAATGGGAAATACTGAAGTTTATGTATGAAAAAGCCCTGTGCCCTGGTAACCATAATTCATTACAGTATGTTGGATGTGAAGATACTTCGGGGGACTTTGTGGGCAACAGACCAAGTATAATGTTTCTTCCTTTATACATATTTTTTGTTTAAAGTACAATTAAAGGCAAAAACTTTTTCAGATTTGAATAGAGTGGTAAGGGGCTAGAACTACTGTCAGGTTTTTATTGTTGCTTGGATATTCACAATATCTAAGGCTAGGTTCAAACTGTAGCAGGTGGTTGCAGGTGCAGGAATCGCAGCTGTTTCCACACCCGCAACGAATTGCTCTATAGAGATGCATGGGGCTGCTATTCATTCATGGCACCATGAAATTTCCCTGCTGCTGCATGTTTAAAATGATGCAAGTACCTTTTTTTGGGGGGAAATGCAGGTACAGCATCCAATTCAAATGAATTGGCTGCCATGCCTATGCAAATGCAGGCCGCAGA